CTGGTTTAAAATGCAGAATCTCACTCCTCACCTCAGACCTACTGACTCAGTCTGCATTTTAAGAAGATGCTCAGCAGAAGACATGAACAAACACTTCTCCAAAGAGGACATCCAGGTGGCCAACAGACACATGAAACGATGCTCAGAGTCCCTCCTCATCAGGGAAATACAAATCAAAACCACACTGAGATACCACCTCATGCCGGTCAGAGTGGCTACAATGAGCAAATCAGAAGACTCTAGATGCTGGTGAGGATGTGGAGAAACGGGCACACTCCTGCACTGTTGGTGGGAATGTAAACTGGTGCAGCCCCTCTGAAAAACAGTGTGGAGGTTCCTCAAAAAGTTAACAACAGAACTCCCCTATGACCCAGCAATAGCACTGCTAGGAATTTACCCAAGGGATACAGGAGTGCTGATGCATAGGGGCACATGCACCCCAATGTTCATAACAGCACTCTCAACAATAGCCAAAACATGGAAAGAGCCTAAGTGTCCATCAACGGACGAATGGATCAAGAAGATGTGGTTCATCTATACAATGGAATACTACACGGCAATGAGAAAGAATGAAATCTGGCCATGTGTAGCAACATGGATGGAACTTGAGGGTGTTATGCTGAGCGAAATAAGTCAGGCAGAGGACAGCTACCATATGTTTGCACTTATAGGAGGATTAGGAGGAACTTAACGGAGGACCATGGGGGAGAAGAAGGGAAAACTAGTGGGGGAGAGCAAGGGAGGCAAACCATGAGAGACTCTTGAATGCCGAGAACAAATTGAGGGCAGTTGGGGGGGGAGGGGAAGGGGGGTGATGGGCATGGAGGAGGGCACTTGTGGGGATGAGCACTGGGTGTTATATGGAAACCAACTTGACAATGAACTATTTAAAAGGAGGAGGAGGAGGAGAAGGAGAAGAAGGAGAAGGAGGAGGAGGAGGAGGAGGAGGAGGAGGAGGAGATGCCCAGGTTTGCTGCAGTTCAAGTGAAAGTTTGGGTAGCACTGACCTAACTGGCTGCAGTGGAACCAGCAGAGGGCAGTGTTGCAGAGCTCACCAGAGTGGCCAGCGGGAGGATGGCAAAGATCTTACCTGGGGATTTCACATGAGGCAGTTCTTGGTGAGGACTTTGCCCAAATGGTGAGATATCTTCTTTACACAAAGACAAATGCTTGTGTTAAAAAATAAAAATAAAAAATTCAACTGAGTAAATTTTAAAGATCTTATTGGCTTTATTCATGAGTTGGGCAGCATTCCATTTGCAAATACAAAGAAGCTCTGAGGAGCAGTACAACATGAGACTTTCATAGGCAGAAGGGAGCAGAACAAGTTACTAGCAAAGAGCGGATTGTTTCAGGCAAAATCACCTTCCTTTAGGGAACAGCAAGGGTCTGTCAGGCAGATGACCTCACTAGCAATGAGGTAATCTGGTAATTCCAGATTGACTGGCTCAACCCAGGACCTCTCCTGGGTTGAAACTGTAATTGATAGGTTTAAATCTTGGTTTGGCAACAGGGGCACATGTGACTCCATTTTTGACCTCTTTTTTTTTGTTTTTAATGTTTATGTAGTTTTGAGAGAGAAAGAGAGACAGAGCATAAGTGGAGGAGGGGCAGAGAGAGAGGGAGACACAGAATCTGAAACAAGCTCCAGGCTCCAAACTGTCCAGCAGGGCTTGAACCCGTGAACTGTGAGATTATGACCGGAGCCGAAGTCAGATGCTTAACCAACTAAGACACCCAGGTCCTCTTTTTTTTTTTTTTTTAAACACTTGAGTTTGCTGATAATCACCCCACCAAGTTTTGATGTACAGAAACCTATGAGACACTGGGGAATCCATGAGAACTGGGCTTGGTCCTTGAACTAGAACTCCCAGAGAAGGTATTGTCTTGGTGTAATGTATCAGGAGTCCTTGAGGCCAACCCAGCTGCAACCCTATGTTCAGAGGGTTTGGTGCAAAAACACTTGGTCTGATACTCTGCTGTCACCATCTTGATATTATTAAATTCTTAATAATTTCATCTTTCAACCTATGTTTTTTAAATGAAGTCCTTTGGTACAATGGAACATGTACTCATGTACATGAGTAGAGGAAATGCATGCAGGGTGCATGTCCATCCAGTTCAGGCTGCCTCATCCAAATGCAGCATTCATGGTACCCCATGAGTATAGAAGTAGTGGATCAATGATGTACAAGAGTTCACGGAGACTCAAAATGACTACAAATGAATTGTATCATGAAAACCAGTGGCTTCCAGAGAGTGTTGGGAAAATGAGTGTTCATGAGAAGTAACATGAAAACAGTTAAGTTAGGGGTTTTCTTGAATTATTTCTATTGCTCTGGAAAAAACAAAATGCACATGTATGCATAAGCTACAAAATACGAATTGAGTAATTTCAATTATTCCACAAACGAATAAATATTCTTGTATTTCATTCAAAATTGACATTGCACAATTTAAACAATAAAATTCACAATAATAACTTAAATGTTCAATTTCCTTCACTTAGAACATTTAATAGCAATTTAAAAAAATCATCCCAAGTACAGAGAGTCTGTAGAATAAAGAGAAAAAGTTTATCTTTTAGTACATCTAATGGCACTTTTTTCTTGCTTTTTGAATGAGGGGGGTGAAGGGGAGTCCCACATTTTAATTATGCACCAAGCCCAGCAAATTAAGTATCTGTCACTGTCTTGAGAGAGAGAGAGTCAGGGTATAGTTGGTATTGGTGACCTGGGCCATCAAAGGTGGGGATTTGTCTTCAGGTCTTCAAGTAACTAGAACCAATCAAAACTTGTGTCTGTTCTTTAGCAGCTGAGGACTCTGCTTATTTATGATATAAAGCGACATTTCTTTTCTCTTACTGTTTTCCCCCAGAGATGATTTTTGACTCCATTGGTGTGTGTGTGTGTGTGTGTCCTCAAGAAAACCTCCTCTTCTGCCAAGAAGAAGCAAGGGGAAAGGGAGAGACGTTGCATGCAAAAAAGAGACCTAGACGTTCCCATTGGAGGGTGCCAGCTGATAAGAGTTGAGGCTGGAATGAGACCACAGATGAGGCTGAAGGATATATAGGCGTCTTCTGGAGTCAAGGCTATCTTGTGGTAACAAACAAAATCCAAACTTTCTTACACGTGTTCAATATAAACCAGGCAGCTGCCTTCCATACAATGGCTTGGATCCAGGTCCCTTTTGCTATGTGGCTCCACTCCTCAGAGTCCCTCACTTCCTGTCTCATCAATTCCATCCATTTTCTACTGACTAAAACCAGTCACATGACCCAAATTAAATGAAAAAGGACCTGAGAAAGTTAGCTTTTCCATTGGCCCATGTATTAGTCAGGGCTCTGCAGAGAAACAGACAAATAGGAGACGCACGTATGCACACACACACACACACACACACACTCACTCACTCACTCACAGATTTATTATAAGGAATTGGCTCAATTATGGAAGCTGACAAGTCCCAAGATTTGAGTCATCAAGCTGGAGACCCAGGATTGCTGATGGCGTCTGAAGGCAGGAAAGAAAAATTGTCCCAGCTCAAAAGGAGTTAGAAGTAATTCTCCCACACTTGTGGGAGGGTGAGCCTGCTCACACCGTTACCTGACCGGATGAAACCCATGCACTTTAGGGATGATAATCTATTTTACTCAGTCTACTGATTCAAATGTTAATCTTATCCAGAAAACCCTCACAGGCACACACAGAATAATGTGGGACCACACATCGGGACACCACTGTGGCCCAGTCAAGTTAACACATACAATTAACCAGGACAGCCCAGGAGGAAAATGAGAATGTTTGGCGAACACACAGCATTTTCTTCCACAGAGGAGAGCTAGATGGCAGGGAAGGCTGGTTTGGTATAGAAGGAAAGTGGTCTGTGGTGGGGCAGTTACCAGAAGGGCAGTTACACATCCTTGAAGGGCCTTCTTGGCTCTAGGCCCACACAAGCCTTGGAGGAGGGGAACACCCAGCAGAAATGTGTGTTCTGTCAGCGCTAGGCCCGTGGCCTCCCACCTTCCTGCATTGGAAGACACTAGTGATTACATTTTGTCCATTTGATGGTTTTATTAGATCCCATGACACAGGTAGGGTTTGAAGAGTCGCACACAAAGGGAGTAGAGTTGCTCAGCTCCCCAGGAAAAGCTTGGGAGGGACTCTTTTTACGTCGCAAAGCTTCATGCTCACTCCTGAGGGGTAAGCCTGACCCCATACTCCCAGGAAACCGAATGAGCATGCTCCTCAGAGAGGAGGCCAGAATTTGGGGGTGGGAGAAGCTGAAACCCCAGGAAGTCAGATATGGATGTGGGACCAAGAGTCAGGGATTACACAAATTAACTCCTCCTGACACACCAGAAGGAGCCCATGATCCCAGGCTCTTCCACTTTGTATCTCGATTGTTCAGATCAATGGAGCAGGCATTGTTTGACAGCTTGACGTTGATGGTCCTATCAAATATTTATTTAAACAAGAAAACATAGTTTGATCACATCTTCTGGTGGAAAGAATGCATGTGTATCTATATTTGTGTGTTGGGAAATAACTAGGAAGATAAAATAAAATATTAGCTGTAGGTTTTTATTTTTTATTTATTTATTTTTAAAGTTTATTTATTATTTTGGGGCACCTGGGTGACTCAGTTGGTTAAGCATCCGACTTCAGCTCAGGTCTTGATCTCACAGCTTGTGTGTTCAAGCCCTGCATCGGGCTCTGTGCTGATGGATAGGAGCCTGGAACCTGAGTCTCCCTCTCTCTTTGCCCCTCCCCTGCTCTCTCTCTCGCTCTCTCGCTCTCTCTCTATCTCTCAAAATAGACGTTAAAAAATATTTTTTAGTTTATTTATTTTGATAGAGACAGAGACAGCGTGAATGGGAGAGGGGCAGAGAGAGAGAGAGAGTGAGAATCTCAAGGAGGCTCCACACTTCCAGTATAAAGCCTTATGTGGGGGCTTGAACTCATGAAACTGTGAGATCATGACCTGAGCTGAAACCAAGAGTCAGATGCTTAACCAATTGAGCCACCCAGGTACTCTTTAACTCTAATTTTTTTTAATTTGAAAATCCTTGTAGATTCAACAGCACACTTTATGTCATCCCATATAATCAGAGCTCTTTTCTGGCTGATGAAGGCAAGACCCAGCCATCTTCAAGCTTCACCCCTGAGTTAGAGCAGCTCATGTCAGGTCCATAGAAGGGCAGGAACAATGGGTATAATGACCACTAGCCACGTTGCAATCCAGGAAACTCCAGAGGATCTGGCTGAAAGAGCAAGAAAATGCCAAACACTTAGGTGTCTAGACTTCAGGGAAGGAAGTATTACTTCCCCTCTCTGTTTTTCCACCCCACTCACCATCTACACCTACTAAAAGGAAAAAAGAGAAAGAGAAGAGAGAAAAGAAGGGAAGAGAAGAGAAGGGGTAAGAACAGAGGAGAGGAGGGAGCAGAAAATTTTTAAAAAGGGAATGGGTGATAAAGTAGGGAAGGGAAATTAGGAATGCTTTGCTAAAATAATTTGGGTGGCTAAAAAGTGACAAGATTGGTTTAGCCCTTCCAAAATAAAAAGGGCTGTATTATTATTTTCCTCTTCTCTGTAGATGAGCAGTCACCTTCATCTTATAAAGGACAGGGACTATGTCTCTTTCTTTTTCTGGACCTCAGGTGTGTGCTGGTGATATGAAGATGGTCTCATGGTCGGACACCAAACTGTCCCGTCAGGTCTGTGGTGGCAGGAGATACTAGAAGAGGCATGGCCAGTCAGTTGGGAAGAATAAATAAGTGCGTACAGTTTCCATAAGCCACATGTGGGAGCAGAGGTGAAGAAATCAGTACAGGTGGGTGAGTAGACAGCGTCAAGGAAGACCGTGAAAGAGCAGTGTCTCTGTGGGCCATGGTCCCTGATGCATGTCAGGGAACTCAGGTAAATGTTGGCACCACAGGTATGAGTTATTCTGGAAGAATATGAATGTGGATGTGGATACTCAGGGATGTGATTTTAGAGGTATGGAAAGTACAGGACCCAGAATGTTGGAGATAGTAATTCAAATTTATTAAGGGGTTCCCCCAAACTCCTAGTGTTTCCAGAATTGAAGAAACTAGATGTAATTTAAGTACCATTCATTGAAGACTTATCAGGCACTGTGCTAGGTAAGTTATCTGTACTGTCTCATTTAATCCTTATACAGAATGAGATAAGGATTACTATTTTGTCTGTTATTTAGGAAGGACACAACTTGGAGAAGGATATGACTTGGAGCAGTGAAGAAACTTTCCTCTCTACTAAATGACAATCCCAGGATTGCCCCCAGATGTCTGACTCTAAAACTTATGAGCTTACTGCCTGATCCCAGCTACCCCTCTACGGGACTTGTGTAGACTTGACAGAGAGCCAGGAGAGATGCTTAAGTGAGTGGATCCTCCCAAGAGACAGAGGAATCTGGAACATGAAACTCAGAGTCTGTCTTTCTAAAGAGCAGAGAGTCTCTACCTTAGGATAAGGCCTTTGCCCCTGTTTACCACTTCTTCTGGCTTGTGCTCACCTACTTGATCCTTCTTGCCTTTGCTGATTTAGGCTGTCTTCCAGAAACCCCTCATGCACCTGCTCAACTGGGTCTGGTCTGCTCTTCCCCTTGTGTTTTTTTCCCTGCTCAATGCTAGCATCTCAGATTGTCCTACAATTTTCCAGGCCTCAGATTCTAGGACCATGCATTGTTAGAGCAGAGTAGGAGCTTCAGCCTCCCTTTGCAAGCAAGGACAACAAGCTCCACAAAAGCCAGGTGAGGTGGTGGCAGAGCCCGGGGTAGAACCCATCTCCTGGGTCTCACAGATGCCTTTGGGATTCTCCACACAAGCAGGATGCTGAATAGGATTCCCACACCTTTCTTCATCCAAGACAAAACTAGTTACCCATACCCGCCCTCAGCTCCCTTGGGAATATTTCTTACACAGAGTACAGGGTAAAGTGAAGTAGATTGTATCATTCTTGCTGCTGACAGCATTGCTGATTTGGCAGGTGTAACTTCCAGAGTACTTTTGTGGATTAATAGTGATTTCAAGCACATTACTATGGAAGGCTGTTGGAAATGCTTCCAAGTCCCCATACCAGGTGTAGTTTACAGACCGGTCGTCTGAGATTTCACACAACAGTTTCAGATGACAGCTGTTGTTCACTTCCTCTCTCTTCTCGATCTTTATGAAAGGTTTAGGTACTGGATCTGAAGACAAAGAGGATGTTGTAAGATGAGACAATGGGTTTATGTATTTATGAGGTACTGATGCTACAAGCATTTGGCTAAGATACAAAGGGAGCTGTGGTGTCATGGAGAAGAGGCCCCTACAGAGGGAGCCAGTGAGCAGCTTTGACCTCTGGAAATTCAGACTGGAAGGGCTGCTCCTTAGAGGTGAAGCTAAAATGTATCTGGCAGTGTGGGGGGAGGGAGGCAGCCATGCACCCAGAACCAAAATGGGGTTATGACTACAGGTGGGCCAGAGAGAACAGCAGAGATTGGCTGAGGTCAGACTTGGTATCCCAACTGTCTGAGCTACTTGAGGATCCTTCTCCAGCACCAGCCCAGAGTTGGCATCTTGGTCCGTCTGTCTTCAAGAGCTCTTGGGCTCAGATTCAGCAAGAGTCCTGGGGTAGGAGGTACTATCCAACATACCGCAAAGCCCTTTCCTGGACTCTGGCAGAACAGAGAAGAGCCTCATGTAACCCCCAGCACACATTAGCCATGATGAACAGCATTGTGTCTGAGATACCCTTTGGTATCTCAGGGTTTAGTACAGTGCCTGCCACATAGCAGGAATTCTATAAGTATCTGACGAAAGGATGGATGGATGGATGGATGCATGGTTGGATGGATGGATAGGTGGGTGGGTGGATGGGTGGATGGAGTAGTTATGAGATACAAAGGAAAAAACAGTAGCTTTGGAGTGAGACCAGCCTGGGTCCTGGCTCTCATGGAGTGACATTATCAAGATAATTATCCCCTTGAATTTCCTTCCCATTGGTAAACTGACTCCACCTCATAGCACCATGTGAGTGAGATAAAATGGCATCATCCATGAGGAAGTACTTTCTGCAGGTGCAAGTGTTATATGCATGTTGGAGGTCACATCATCATTGCTGCTGTCTTCCTGCCACCAGATGGGATAAAAGGTAATCCCAGCACATGCTCCTTCCTTTGCTAGGGACACTTTAACTGAGACCCTCTGGGTCCTTTTCATTCTGGCCATGGGTAAAACCCCTGCAGAATCGGTGCCTCTTAGGTGTCAAAGGATTAAATGTGCCAGAGAATTGACCATCCCAGAGCTTGCCTCTAACTGCAAGTGTGTGAGGGGAGATGGGAGGGTTCTGCCTGCCTGGCCTCCTGAACTCTAGGCACATCTCCTATATGAAATGCCCCTCAGATTGCTGATCTTTCCTTGCACACTTGAACTGAGCAATTTTCATAATGTTTTTTGCCATGTCCTGTGGCCTAGCTTGGTGTCTTCCATATCTTCCACATTTTACACACTGAGAAGCATACACCAGGCACTTTGTGGATGAGATTTTTTTGAGACAGCAGGGACTCTGGCTCCAAGATTCCCCCTTTAAGATATCAGAAATCCAAGGGCTGTACTGAACAATGAGTTTTCTGCTAACTCCATCCTGATGGTCTTATCTTCAGGCAGGTGTGCTTACCTCACACCAGCTTTTGGAATTTAAAATATTCAGAAATTTTGCAAGCTGATTATGAAACCATTAGGAACTTGGAAATGGCTGTGGTGGTACTATCTGCCACAGAAGTTGGTTAATGATACAAATTTGGGCTTTTCTTAACACCACTGTAAGAGATTTTGACTCTTTCTTGTTCCCAGAACCTCCCAAATTTTCAGACCATGTGACTTGGAGGAAGTGAGCAAGGAGGGTCCTCCAGCCTCTTAGAACAGGGACGGGTGAGCTCGTGGGACCTAATTGTACATGACACTCTTCATTTACACTGTTTCAAGGGAGAAAGAACATTACAGATATATTCTGAGTATTTTCTAGAGACTTTGTATTCATATTTTTGGTAATTATCTGGAAGAAGGAAACAGCATGCTAAAATGATTTGGTCTTGAAAAAGAACACTTGCTTGCACTTTTTGACGTTGACTTTTGATTATTATTGACTTTGATTCTTATAACGTCCTAAAAGCAAGATATAAGTATCCTCAAATATGGAGTCCCCACGGCTCTCAGGTCTCACCTGTCTGGGATGTCTGCCTTGCCCCTCTTCTCCAATAATTATTTACCTCAGTGCCAGGGAGATATCCCCAAGAACCATGTTTCTGCTTTATATCCTGACCCTTTGGGCCATAAATGTTTCCATCAGGTATACATACCTGAACCAACTTGGATTCATCAGTTTCTCTCTTTAAATTCTGAGAATTTAGGGGTGCCTAAAGGGGGTGACTCGGTCAGTGAAGTGACTCTTGATTTTGGCTCAGGTCATGATCTCACAGTTCGTGAGATCCAGCCCCATGCCAGGCTCCTTGCTAATGTTGTAGAGCCTGCTAGGGATTCTCTCTCTCCCTCTTTTCCTCCCCCTCCCTGTTCACGGTCTCTTTCTCTCAAAATAAATACATAAACGTTAAACTATAAATAAATAAATAAATTCTGAGAGTTTAAACCAAGAGTTACAAAAGTCTAGGCCTTGAGAGTAAGTCATGTAAATGGCAGGAATCCAGAGGCCTACTCCACAGATTCCTAAGACTGGGGACTCTGGACTGGCCTCATGTTTCCTTCTGTTCAGACTTTTTTTTTTTTAACCTCTTTTAGGTCCCTTGAATTGTTTTAAATAGGTCTAGTGTCTTTAATAGATTTTTTTGGCCAAATTTATATTAAACTAGCTTCTGTTAACTTGCCATCAAAAGAAATTTATCTAATATGGGCACAGAGATGTTAAGATCTTTCTCCAAGGTCACACAACTAGTAAATGAGCTAGTAACCAGAGTTTTTAACCCAGGTCTATCTGATTCCAAGTATAATATCTTAGTCCTTATTCCACATATACCAGTTAGGCTGGAGCTACGAGTGGAAGTTTTTGTCCCATCCATTCTGAAAGGTAAATAGTCTTCCTTTAACAGCCCCTACTCCATTCTTTATCTCTTGTATCTTTTTCCTTGAGTCTGATGAAGTCTGTGTTCAGGTATATCATTAAGACAAGCTCAGAACTGATTTGAGTTGATTGCAGGAGAGCCTGAAGAGAAGAGAGAAGAAACCACTTTTGTGGTTTTCTCTCTCTTCACATCTCAGACACGTGAATGCCAGAAGTTTTAAATGTCCCAAGGCTATCAGTTTGGGTTCTGCCTACCCAGGTTCACTCCTCAGAGGAACTGGCTCCAGGAGAAATGAATTAAGCCTGTCCTGAAGTTCCTCTGCCAGAGAAAGTCCCCATGAATGCAGGGAAACCTCCCAGGGGTCCATCCGGGGCCCTGGAGTGGGGATCCCCAAACTCACCAAGCACCGTCAGTGAGATGTGGTGAGGTACCTCTATCCCAGACTCCTTCAACTCCAGCAGGATATACTTGCTGCTGTCCTCTTTCTGGATGTTATAGATGTACAGTTCATAGTCTTTACCAAGAATGACTCTGTCCTTAAACCTAGACTTGAAGTAGATAATTTCACCAGCCTCCCATTCTGCAATCTTCTGGTTGTCGTTGTAAAACCAGGTGAGTTGTTTGAATTCATCAGACAAATTATAGATTTTCAGAGTCACGTTGCTGCCAGAGATGGCAATCACTTGATTTGAAGGATCTGTGAATGAGAGTGAGAACAATCTTCGAGAGGGCAGAGCAGTTCAGCGGCCCAGGCTTTGGCCTGAGCTGTGGGACAGGGAAGAAGGAAGGGGTTTTGGCTTGGAAGCAGTGAGTATGGTCTTCACCAGAGGGGCTAATGAAAGCTGCAGCTTGAGGAATGGGCAATGGGATGCTGCTGATAATTCACCTAGTTCTCCCCCCCACCCCCCGTGAAGATACAAAAAAAATGACCCTAAAGCTGTCTTCCGCTCTCTCCCTTGCTCTCATACCAGTAGACTTCCAAATAAAATGGTGACAAGTCACATCCCCTCTCTGGGCTTGTGTTCCATGATCCTTCAATTGAATTCTCTAGCAGTAGGTGGAAAGTAGAGAAGAAGCAAAGTTTGAATTGAATGAGAACCAGAGCTGTTCAGTGTCAAAGTATTCTAGAAGTGTGAAGACATTTCATTCATAAAAATATGCTATTTTTCTGGTGTTCGTAATTTTTGTAGTATTTCTCATCTTTGGGAAACTTGTGACACATTAATATTTCTTTTCTCATTCTAACTAACCTCATTTTTTTCCTATTTGTGTTTGCTCTTCTGTTCTTTTTTCATGAGGACACCCAAACCTTGTTTGGTTATGGCAAGGAAAAGACAAGATGATAGCCAAGAGGATGCAAGATGAAGGGGAGATCTGTTGACTCTTTGTGGAGGGAGAAGAACAAAGTAGATGTAGATAGATAGATAGATAGATAGATAGATAGATAGATAGATGATAAATAGATAGATAGATAGTAGATAGATAGATAGATAGATAGATAGATAGATAGATAGATGATAGATAGATAGTAGATAGATAGATATCAATATCTGTATATAGGCTGAGAAAGAGTAGTAGAAAGAAGCTAGTGGTAGAGGAAAAAGGAAATATGATCTATATTAACTATGGTCTCATATACTATCACACAAAACCTCAGCCTATTGATCAACATCATATATATATATATATATATATATATATATATAACTGTTCACTTTCCACAAATCTATCATTTCCAAAAGAACTCTCTTCAACTGATAAAAAATTAAAAATGCTTGTGTCCTCAGGGCTTTCAAGTTTCTCTTTATTAATCCTTCCAACCATCCACCTCTCCATTCAACAAACATTTATCAAGCACTTACTCTGTGCCTAGTACATATGTAGACATACTTAGGCATTCATTTCCACAGGGCTTCTGATTGATCCATTCTACACATTATAATCACTGTGAAATAATCAATTCAGTGCAAACTGCAGTATTTGAACAACCATTGTATGCCTGGCACTGTGTGAGGCTCTGATATCAACAATGTAGACAGGGCCTCTGATCTCTTGGAGCACAGCAAATCAGGACATTGCCTTCAGGATTTTAAAATCCCCAGACATATATTCTAGGCTTGTTCTCATTCTGTTAATTTTTTCTATGTGAATTAATAGAAGTGGTGGCAATTGAGAGCCTAGATCAATGTTTTTCAACCTTGGCACTATTGACATTTTAGGCCAGATAATTCCCTATTTTAGGGCCTGTCCTTGTGCATTACAGGATGTTCAGCAGAATCCTGGCCTCTGCCCACTACCTACCAGTAGCACTTCTCCAGATGTGACAGTCAAAAGTGTCTTCAGATATGGTCAAATGTCTCACCCCATGTCAGCTAAGAACTACTGGCCTAGGTCATCCTTGCCAGAATCTTCAACAAAGATCAGACACATGCTCAAGAAGATAGCTCAACCCACAATTAGCCACTACTTCATTTCTCAGTAAGAAGTGATAGCCAAGCACCAGAATGATCTTTTTGGAATTGGTACACATAGGTGGTGAGGGAGGGAGGAAGGAAAGATACAACATCCTGTGCATGCCTTTATCTTAGCACTCATATGATATTGAAATGCTCTGTTTAATGTCTACTACCTGCTTCTATCACCAGACTATAAGCTTCCCAAAGACAAGAAGTGTGTCCTATTAGTCTAAGGTCATTTTCCATTATAGTGTGATAGTTAAGAGCATGGATTCTAGAATCAGACTGCCTCAGTTCAAACCCTGGCTATGCTACTTTCCAGCTGTGTAACCTTGAGCATGTTACCTAATGTCTCTACCTTTAATTTAGTAATTATCTCACAGAATTTTTGACTGTTTATGTGTCATCTTGACTGGGTTAAGGGATGCCCAGATAGATGGTAAAATATTGTTTCTGGATGTGTCCATGAGGGTGCTTCTGGAAGAGGTTAGCATTTGAATTGGTATACTGAGTTTAAAAGATCACCCTTACCAGTGTGGTGGGCACACAATCCATTGAGGGCCCAAAAAGAACAAAAAAAAAAAAAAAAAAAAAGCAGAATAAGGGCAAAGTTGCTCTTTGCTGAAGTTGGGACGTCCATCTTCTTCTATGCTCATGCATCAGCATTCCTGGCTCTTGGGCCTTGGACTTGGCAGGGACCTACTACGACATTGGCCCCCATGGTTCTTGGCCTACAGGTTGGGATCAAAATTCTGCCACCAGCTTCCCTGTGCCACCAACTTGCAGATGGCAGATTGTGACGCTTCTCCATACAGAGAGGTACATAGTATAGGTTATGCTTCCATCATTGCATGAGACAATTCCTCATAATAAATCTCTTTCTATATATTTGTACATAGGCTACTTGTTCAGTTTCTCTGAAGAACTCTAAAACTGAGTTACAGGTTTAGAATGTATTCTAAATGCTTAGAATATAACTTCGTATACATAATCAATTAATATAAATAAAGTGCTTAGAATAAGATCATTAAACATTCCATAAATATCATGTATCATTTTATTATTATCCTGTTATTTTTATATCCATAACATCTAGTGCTATGCCTGTTATTAAGATGTTTAACAACTGCCTACTGAACTTATTATACCAAAATAGTGGTAAAATAAAGACTAGACTAATGATATATATTTTTAGAAATGGATGCTTATAAGTGAATCTAAAATGCTGAAGAATGTGAGAAAACTTTTTGGCCTAAAGTCCAAAAAAAAGAAAGAAAAAAAACTGTAGCAACTCCTGAATCAGCTGTCACTTGTAGCCTAATGGTCTAAAAGTAAAGGGCATTGGTATGCACAAGAGATAACACAAAACTGCCTAGTACATGTGGTGATGAGACAGAGAGGTTCTAGCACCTCTGTTGGAACAGAGAGCTTCCCTAAAGTTTCCTTGGAGAAACTCAAGTTTCTCATTGAGTCCCATAAGAAAGAACGAAGAACACAGAGCACATAGACTCAAGCTATGATCCAGGCCCAGTTATACCTTGCCTCCTTTCCCCTTGTGAGAATGGATGCTACTTTCTAAGGACAAGAAGATAGTATTTGCAATGGTATCCCCAACATGCTCAAAATAACTTCAAAATTTAGTGTAAGGGACATGGAGAAACTGTAACAGACACAGTCACTAATTTTGTGAGTTTCTCAAAGGCAAAGACCCTGTCTTGCTCAATTTTAAATCCCCAAAATATTTGGTTGACATTTGGTGTTTAATACACGATGGATGGATGGATGGATGGATGGATGGATGGATGGATGGATGAGACAAAATGTAGACATAAGTTCTCGCAGTCTTTTTCTTTTCATGACCTCCTACTAGTCAAAAATATTTTTTCATATGTTTACTTCCCACTCAGCTTCTCTCTCTTGTTTACTTCTTAAGATCAGTTTGGACTGATGAGGCAGGGAGAAAAGGAGGAGATAAGAAAGGGCCAAAGCCACTCAAGCTGGTTTAGGAAATAGGGGTGCTAGGGCATTGAGTCTCAGAAGAGTAAGACTACCTGAGCAGAAGATGGATGGGGAGATTTGAGAAGACTGAAAGGACAGAAAATGTGGAGGTAAGAAGTGTTGCTATAGTTTACATTTTGGATTTCTTTAACATTTTTTGAAAGACCATGGGGAAGAAGAAGGGGGGAAGTAGTGGGGGAGGGGGAGAGAAGCAAACCATGAGAGAATCTTGAACAAACCGAGGACTGATGGGTGTGGGGGAGGAGCGGGGGATGGGCATGGAGGAGGGCACTTGTGGGGATGAGCACTGGGTGTTATATGGAAACCAACTTGACAATAAACTATTTGTAAAAAAAAAAAAAAAAAGAAAAGAAAGAAAGAAAGACTATAAGTAGATATTTGAGTTATAGTGTAATTACTTGTAACCAATGAACTGTGTTTCTTAATATGCTGACAGTGTGGAACCTGCTTGGGATTTTCTCTTTCCCTCTCTCCTGTCCCTACCCTGCTCTCTCTCTCAAAATAAATAAATAAAAACTTTATTTTAAGTTTAAATTAAAAAAAGAATTAAATCAAAATAATAGGCTTCTTTACAGTTACTTTCCCTATCTTCTAACATATGCAATTGTTAGGAAGGCAAATCAAGATTTTGTCATGACAAAATCTCATGACCCATGAGATCACGACCTAAGCCAAAATCAAGAATCAGACATACAACCAACTGAGCCACTGAATCGCCCCATTTTGACCTAATTCTAACAGAAAAAGTAGTTGGTTATGTGTCTGGTTGCTTGGGATAAAATACCTGTGTTAACATGTAGTTTACAATAGAAAATGAAGCAGCTCTTTCCTATGCCAACCCATGTTTCTTGTTGGTAGAGAAGCAAAATTAAAACAGGGAAGGTGGGGACTCAGGCCAAAGGAATCATCATTTCATACTTAAAAGTCTACTCTGGGAGACAAAAGAGGCCCTGCAGAGAAAGTTCTCACCATTGTAAAATCAAGGCACATGGTTTCTTCCTTTTAAGGAAGTAATTTCCAAACTTAAGGTATAACTGACATACGACAATATATTCATTTCAAGGGTACAACATGATAATACCTGAATATTTCTTCAGGGGAATAGTGAGAAAAATAATAGCTTACCTCTCACTTCTCAGATGACCTGAAAAGAAAAGTACTGGGAGGTCCAGCAGCCGTAATAGAAAAGAATGCTAACTCAGTTCTGGGGTATGTGAGGGGAACCAGAGCAAGCACTTGGCAAAGGAACGACCTTTCACTCTCAACAACTAGATTTGGGTGTTCCTTTGATACTGAAGCCCCCAGGCCTCTGCTCAGATCCTCATTCACAGACCTTAGAGCAAGTTTTCTTTCTTACAGTTTCTATCTCTCTTTGGGAATAACAACATCATTTACCTTTGCTCAGGGCACAGCCCCTGCATTGGAGAATGCCTCAGCGAACACAATGTGTATCTAGCAGAATACGCGGCAGTTATCCATTTGGAGCTGATATTCAATTTTAAAAAAAAAACGGGGAGGGGAGGGTATGCCTAAGTGGCTCAGTCAGTTAAGCTTCAGACTTCGGTTCAGGTCATGATCTCTCAGTCAATGGGTTCAAGCCCCGTGTCAGGCTTTGTGCTGGCAGTTCAGAGCCTGGAGCCTGTTTGGGATTCTGTGTCTCCCCTTCTCTCTCTCTCTGCCCCTCCCCCACTTGTAGTCTATGTGTCTCTCTCTCAAAAATAAAAATAAAAACGTTTTCCAAATAAATAATTAAATAATTAATTAATAGAAACAAAATATATTTTTTAAAAGCAACAACAACAACAGAAAACAAAAAACAAGACCTTCCCAGACCACAAGCCATGGAACGAAATATAAGAAGCGTACTTCCCAGTCTCCCCAGGGTCTTGTTTTTTCGTGACCTCTTGGGAAGAAAAGAGAGAGTCTTATCTCCAAGGCTCAGGAAAGTTCCCCACAGCACTGCTACCAGCCTAGGAGTACCTGCCGCCTGTAGACCACACTCCACTCTCAGGGTTAAGCCCCACTCATATCCCCTTTTCCATCTCACCGTGCCTCCCATGCACAATCACAGGCACACAACTCATGTAAAGTACCTTGAACTTTTGCCAGGAGCAAACGAAACAGCAGTAGAAATCCCAGAGCTGTAAACCACGCCTGCCTTTGGGACCTCATGTTACATCCCAGGAATACTGGAGACAGGCCAGAACCAGATTAGAAAGGGACCGAGGGCTCCAGAGCCCTTGACATCATGGCCCGAGTTTAGAGAAAAACACCCACCAGACTTTTCAAAACTCAGTAACTCATGGGTGGAGCTCGGAGACCAGAAACAGGAAGCCACCAATATCAGAAAACACCACGGAAGTGAAATGCAATGAACTATTTCTTTTTTTTTTTTTTTTTACAAATAGTTTATTGTCAAATTAGTTTCTACATAACACTCAGTGCTCATCCCCAAAGTGCCCTCCTCCATGCCCATCCCCCCCTCCCCCCCACATCCATCAGTCCTCAGTTTTTGTCAGCATTCAAGAGTCTCTCATGGTTTGCCTCTCTCCCTTTCCCCCACCATTTCCGCCCTTCTTCTCTCCCTTGTTCCTCCGTCAAGTTCCTCCTAATCCTCCTATACGTGCAAACATATGATATTTGTCCTTCTCTGCCTGACTTATTTCGCTCAGCATAACACCCTCAAGGTCCATCCATGTTGCTACACATGG